AGAATGAAAAATTTTTGAATGGCAACACATATTTTTCCTTGCACTAATTCATTGTGCATTGAAAAACTATAAATGGCATTGGAATGACATACATATGATGAAAATTAATGGCTTAAAGCTTTTGCAAAGCAGCCTTGTAAAGCACCATTGACAACACAAGAGAGGAGAAGAAAAAAAAAATATTGGAATTACAAGTTTCAACGTTCTTGTCTTTGCAGACTATAATCCATTGCATGCAGGTGATTGTTTACAAAACAATGAGGAACATTGCAGGTGAAATCTGTATAACTTCATATCTTATGGCATTTTTCAATTTTGACAGATCTCAGATTTGATGTGTAGACCTTAGATTTAATTAAGATAACCTCACAACCAGAAGTTCATCAGAGTGAGTTTGAGGGAAACATGGTAGTCATGAAACTGCAAAGTTACAAGAGATGTGTCTTATCTCTATACGTGCTGTTGCAGCGCTTGCCAAATGCATGTGATGACATGTGGAAGAGGGCCATCTTGCATCCATACAGCATTAACAACATTTTGCTGCTACAGTTCTGGAATTATGTATCTGCAACAGTGTTGTATACCAAGCACTTTTAATGAAGCATGTTTTTGTACCTGTGAAAGTTACCTCTTCGAAGAAGTACGGGCCGAGAATGAATGTGCTTGTGATGCCCCTACACAGTCACTTTAACTTTGTATAAAGGCACTAGTGCCATATCATGAGGATTTTTATCAGCACAGTAAAGGCAGTTCTTGAAGTTTTATGTTTTCATTTAAGTAGAAATGCACCTCATCCATCCATATTCTGCACCTGCTATTTTCATCATGTCTGATGAGAAAAAAAAATTTGCAATTTAACACACTGTTGCTCGGCCAGATTGCAACATCTGGACACTCTGGAATTTTTAGTAGTGCCTGTGCTCTAGGACTGCGATTTTCTGTACATAAAAATTGCGGGCTACATTTCTTTCAATATGCAGTGGACCTTCAGTCATCATATTATGCACTCCCACAACAACTTAAACAGGTCATCCGAATTGCAGTCTGTCACATGTGCATCTAGTTTATTCAAATTTTCTTACAAAATCATGTAGAGTTTTTACGAAACAGGGGCATTATCTTATGAATTCACCGATAATCTTGCACTGCTTTGGCATTTTCCTCGTTTAGATAAAACAGTTTTATGAATTCACCTTGTTTTTTTCCCTGTAAGTGTCATCTTGCTAGCTCGTTTGAATACCTGATTGAAGAAACAATCTTCCCACACTACTAATTAAAGGTTTTCCACAAGCATTGATTTGCACATGGTATTTTATGATTGGTGCTTCTGCTGTCTGTGCCTGGGAATTAAGCAAAGTGTGTCAATGCACCTTCTCTTTGTGTTGTCATTGGTCTTTTACAGTGTTCTTTGCAAATGTTTTACACCCATCAATTTTCATCATTTATGTATCATTCCAAAGCCATTTATGTTTTATCAATGCTTTGATCAGTTTGTGCAAGAAAATGTGGTTGTTACCATTTAAAAATGTGAAATTTTTATTATAATCATAACTGTGAATGCTCTATTGTTTTAAATCACCACAATCTGGAGCACATAGCTTCAAATACTGATATCTGAAATTTCATTTCGATTGGTTGAGTGAATTGGTCACTAGGGGCTCATATATCGTGGGAGTTTTTTTATAACCACCCTTTTACTTTTTGTCATTAAAAATATTACTAAAATACTGTTATTTTAAAAACTGGATATTCTAGTTTTCTGCTGCATTGGAGCTAAAATATCCTGGAATTGTTCACTAAAAGGGAATAAATTTGACTATATTTCTACTTTAAAGGACTTTTTATAATGAAATACGACGTGTGACACACACATATACCAAAAAAAAAAAAAGAAAAGAAAAAGAAAGAAAGAGACTAAGTGTGTATCTTGAAAACAGAGTGGAGTTGATAACAACTGTTTTGGTGACGTCGTGCCACACACCTCTATCCATGTGGCCGGTTTCATGATTGAATGGCTTCTGATTCTGGCATAAAACAAAAAGAACTATCATTAAATGAATTTTGAATAATTTGTCAGAAGAATAACTTAACTCAGGTTCCTAACCCTATGTCCGCAGTCACCATAATGCCCGCTGCTGTGATATGACGAAAAACATGGTTTAGTTTTCAATAAAATTCTAAGTGAATGTTTTCTCATTTTTAATACATTGACTGGCCAACACAAGATAACTTATATTAGCACTCTTCGTCAAGACGCCCGATACGAGTTATCTCGTAGTTTCTTTACTTGCCACTTTTGCGCCACTACGAGTTACTTACTTGCTTAGCGATTGTTTTATCTGAACCAAGGTGACAAGTCAAAGCATGTCTGTACGAATCAACTCGTATTGGGCTTCTGCGAAGAGCTTTATCTAACAAAAGCTGACTAAGAGATAGTTTGTTAGGGCTAGCAAAAATAAAATTCTGTAAACTTTTTAATGATTGTTACGTATCATAATTAGTATTTTAATAATATAATGTGATTGAATTGGTTTAGCTTATCGGGCCGGAATCTGAAAAGTGCTGTGGCAGTCAACGAGTTAATAAAATAGATAGAAATTGCGTCCAACACAGATACTAGCACAACACAAAATGCGACCAATCTCTTTTTTTTATGTGCACATATTATTAACCAATTATAAATTCACCTTGAAAAGGCAAATGGTGGGTACCATCCAGCAGATATTCTAGAATGTGCTCTTAGGGACAAAAAGATTGGGGACCCCTGCCTTAACTTATCAAAACAAGATACTCATATTTTACTTCTTTTCGCTACATTGTATTTGTGCAAGACAGATTTTTCACCACACGATGCTATAACAAATCCAAATACTGAAACTGAGATAATACTGCATCTCAGTTTCAATAAGAATTGTGAATAAACATTCAAAGCATTTCTAATTCGAGGGTTCAAATATATTGAGGTTGTTGAAACATAAAATATTAATTTTTTTACATTGTTTGCTTTATTCAGTTAGCATTATATAAAATTAAGAGCTGAAATAGGTTTCATTATGACATAAAAATTTAAATGAATGTTCATTTTTACTTCCTTGTACAAAGTAAATGAAGTATTGTAATCACAAAAATCATCGCATATCACATTTCAATGAAAATGTCCATTTTGACTGCTCTCAAATGCAATTTAATGATCATGACATCTGTACATATGACCAGAATAAAGGACTCTTTTTCCTAAAAATGGATTCAAAAGAGATATTTTCATGATGTCTGTATGTATCTCGCATAATTCACAAATGAGTAGCCTCAGAACATTGAAATTTTGTATATGAAACTGAACATTTAGTTGTGCACCTCCCTTTTTGGTTGCAATTGGCTGCATTAAACTTATATTAATATATATATATGTGTGTGTGTGTGTGCGTATCCACTCTGTTACCAGGCTGGGTGAGCTGAATTTTTTTTATTTTTATAAGTTGGTAAACTGTGCATTTTTTGCTTTGAAAGTCATTAAATTATGTTCTTTGTATGTTCCAGTTAGTTTTTTATGCCATTAGTTAATCGCAGTAGTTTTAGAATTATCAATAATTTAAAACTTGTTTAAATGGTTATAAGCCTAACGAAGCCAACATTTGCTTACATTTGAAATTCTTAATAGAATAGTGTATTAAGTTAGTTTGTGCATAAAATTCAGTGTCTTTTTGCCAAGTGGGACCAAAAGTAACCTTTCAATTCTGTGTACTAAAAGATCTGGCATTCTATCCGCTGGCCAAAATGTGTGTTTTTGGGTAGAAACTGTAATTTTAATTCTTTTTTAAAAAAGTTATTTTTTAACTGTATTTGGTGTTTTATGTTTTTCTGCATTGTACAATTTTTAATGATGATCTTTTGAGTTTTATGTATTTTTGCCTTGCCGCAAAATGAGAATTGAATGAGAAATATATATATCTAATGAAATTTGAGGAAATAAGTTTAAATGAAATGCTGCAAAAAAATGTGCATAATTTAATAGGCTGTACAAGGAAGTCATGTTGTGTCCTCATCAGAATTTTATCTAATATATCTACATTATTACTTATTATAACTAAAAAAAAAAAAACAGAACTTACTCTAAAGTTCCTTGAAAATTCTGCAATGAGAAAGATTTGGGAAACACTGCTGTACTGTCACTTTGCATTAATTCTTTCAATGGTCTTTCACTTTGCTTTGTACATTTCAAAAATTATATTCATTAATTTTATGTGAAATATTTCATTGCTTTTTCTATATATATATACATATATATAATGACATCATAAACTTTTGTACATCCATGAGCCACTAATAGCTTTATTGCTTTTAATAATTTTTTATGCGTGCCCTTCTAAATAAAAAAATAAAACTTTTTATAATTTTTTGTACAGGATTAATTTTATAGTAATAAAAAGTGTCAAATATACTTGGAATGTTATAAATATTTTGATTCACATATCAGTTTCTTCTTATTTTCTTGTTTAGCTCATATATGCTTATCATGAAATATATTGATACTTTATGTACATTACCACTTTTTTCCAACTATTTTGATCTCATTTTCTGGAATGATCTAGAATTTATTTTTATGTTAAGAAATTGTTGAAAACAAGCAGCCAGCTAAACATTTATACAAATTTAAGTAGTAAATATAAAAAATAACACTTCTTAATTAGGCAGGTAATAAAAGATTTTTAACTATCAAAAAGATAATTATTGCATATCATATTCTGCTGTTGTCAGTTTTTGTCACCATTTAGTTTAAAATATAGCTTTGGATTTATTTATTTAAAATTTTTACGTAGAATTTTCTATATTAAACTGAATCTGAAAACATTCATTGATGAAATTAGAATTTGTATGATTTTGTAAATGCTTATATTTCATTATTATCATTGTATGCTATCTCATATGTTAATGTGTTTCTCTCAGAATACTTTCATTCTCTTCGTTTTATGCTATCTCATATATTAATGTATATCTTTCAGAATACTGTTGAAGAAATCATTGCAACAACTGCTTACCTTGAGCTTTTCTTACGCACTATAACAGAGCCTATCCTGTTACAAATGTTTTTAAAGTTTATTTTAACATCATCTTATGATGGACATCTTGTTTTGAATTCCTTGGTTGATCGACTGGGAGCACAAAGTCGAGTGAATATTTAATTTTGTTTTATTTCCTTTACTTAGAAGTAATAAATATTTTATTGTATTTAAGAGAATGTTATTTGCTTGGATCAGGGTTGTAATAATTTTTTTTTTTTTTTGAATGTGTCTTGTATGCAAAAATATTTGAAGTAGAGATATATATTTACAAACAATCAATTTTAAATTAATCTCCTTTTAAGCTTCTTCACTTACACATTCTTTGCTTTATTTGTCTTATTCATTGGGGAACTTTGTGTAATAAAACAAACACTCATTGCAATAAAGCAGGCTTAGATGTTATGATGTTGTAGAAATACTGTTGGTGTAGCATGCAGAAACGTTCATCCATAATGAAGAGCAACTTTCCAGCTGAAGCAGATTAAATATTCATTTTTATTTCAGTAAACATGTTGCAGCCACAAACAACTTGGCACTTTAATACATGCCTATTTCTTTTATATATATAGCTTTGCAGTAAAAGAGAGCAGTAGTCCAGCTAGGTGAAGAGAAAGCAAATATTCTGTTCAGGGGGAAATTTCAATTCTGAATGAATAGTTTCAATCCTCAGTGCATTTGGTTGGATATTGATACTACTGTAAAATTATTATTGGCTAATTACTATTACTGTTATTACTATTAATTACTATTATTGTTGTTTGACTTCTGAATTAGTATTATTGGCTGTTTGAGCTTCAGTTCCATTCACGTCACCAGTGTTATCTAAGAATAATATGACATGGATTAGTCTCAAAATGTCGCAGTGAAGAAAAGAAAAAAAAACTGTTTTTTGAATAGAGAGGGAAAATACCAAATTAAAACTAATCTTTAAGAGGATGTTTCTAATTTAAATTATAATTTATATTTACATATTTTTATCTTACACACACACATATATATAACAAAAAATTGTAAATTAGAAGAAAAAGATTGTAACATCTTAAAAAAATTCTTTAAATTGAATTTAAGAAGAAAACTATAAAATTTTAAAACTGGGTAAGATTAAGATAGAAACAGGGAAGAAAAAATTTATAAAAGTTTTAATAAATTTTTGAAGACTTTTAAAAAATTCCTTAAGTAAATATGCAAATTAATTATTCACATTTTAAAGCTTCAAATCGACTCTTCAGGGAGTAATATTTAAAACATTAAAATCTGAATAATTAAGGAGTACTAATTTCACATTTCTTCCTTTTGACTTTTTGAGCTTAATAGTATAAAAAGAGAAAACAATTTCTATCTGATTATATTTACACCCGTTCTCAAAAAGGCCTGCGATTACCCCAACATGATATTTTAGTCTCAACAAAAAAACTAAACAATGCAATACATTTTAACAAATTAAGATTATAAGCAATACAAAAATTCAGAATAAAATCTAGTTTTCAACACATCATTTTACAAAGAAAATACAGCGGTCAGTTTAACAGTAACATTTAAACTTAACATTTAACTAACATTCAAACAACACTGAAAATTTTTTAAATCACAAATTTTCCCGATTCGCCAAAAATCAATTGACATCTTTAGTATAGTGTAGTATGTCTGGCACTGACAAGAAGAAACTGTTGTTTATTGGCAAATACCCTAGGTGTTTTAAGTATGTGTAAAATGCTTCCTGTTGATTAAGACCAGAGCAAAAAAGCCTGGATGACTTCAGACATTTTCAAAGAATTAATTTCAAAATGGGAGAGGCAGCTGAGGAAAGAAAAGTGAAAAATTCTCCTTTTAATTGATAATTGCAAGCCACATTCTGAAGTAACTGGACTTATAATATAGTAATTATAAACATCAGGATTGAATTTTTATCCTCAAATTCTACAGTGTTATTTAAACTATGGACAAAGGGATCATCAGAAGTTTTAAATCTAACTTTCTTAAGCACTTGATTTTGATGCTTCTCGGGAAGTGAAAAATTAGAAACAACCTCAGATGTTAATGTAAATGTACTCACAGCGTTACTTTCTGCTTGGATATAATTATAATTTCTAAGACTATTACTTGATTTCACATTCTTCAAGGTACTTTTTTTTTTATAAGAAAGGACATTTTATTATTCTTTATTAGCTGATTATGTTTTTTTTTATTTAAAAAAAACTGAAAAATCTGTTTCATTTCTATGGTATTCAAACTTCTGAACTACAGTTAATATCTTCTGAATAATAGGAAATATCCACAGATAATTCTGTTTACGTTTTCTTTTTTTATTTAGATTTAACAATTTTATGTAATTTTACCTGCTTGTGTACTCGGCAGAATGATCAAAATCTTTATGTAGAAAAATTGAAAATTTCATTACTTTTATTACTGCACACATACAACTGCAGGCATAAGTCTAGCTGAATATGGACAACATAAATGTTTCATGTTTTCTATGTTGGCAAATGACATTCGTAACACTAGTAACAATAGTATGAGGATGATTAGGAAAATGGAACTGTGCTGCTGTGATGCCTGTCTTCTCCTAGTGACTGCATTCCCCATGCAAAAGAACCATCTTGTATTCCTTGTTGGAATAACTAGTCATGCTGAGGTTCAAAGGACCATTGTCTGACAAAATTTTCTTGCAAATACATTGCCCACCATTTATTAAACCTGCTGGTTATTAAAATCAGCCACATGTTGAACCAAGACAAGTATATACTAATCAATAGAAAAGCCACTATTCATTAATCTCATCTCTGCTGCTTATAAAACTGAGACCAGAATATCTCATTTGTACGTACTAAAATTGTTTGTAGTTCATCCATTCAGCGAGTATTGCGAGTACTTAAATAACCATAACTTATTATCGTTCAGGTATATAATGCTTCAACAAAACAGGTTTTTCTCTCTAGGTCTTTCTAAGAAATTTTTCTATCCTGGTGCCTGTGAAACACTATTTTCAGAGCTTTCTGTCTGTAATGAACCTAGAGTGCAGAATTTCCTTATTTAAGGGTTTACAAAAACAATCCATATCCTATTGTAAATGAGTAAGTGTTCCTCTTGAGTACCAGCTGATAGGAGGTGGGAGTGTAACTTCTGTATATGTTTAAGGTTTCCATATTTGAAATCTTCCCTTTGGGACAGACTAAGCATGTTCCCTGAGGGTTTAAAAAAATAATAAAAATAAGTTCATGACATCCTTCCTAGCATTACCATACATTAACAGTCTTTGGAAGGAAAGAGAGTATATATATATAAGCTGAAGAACAAGCAAAGAAATCATTAGTCGTGCCTGTGATTATGAGGTGGCAGTTTGACTAAAACCAACAGAATCTTTCTACTTGTTAGAAACCTGAGTTTTGATAGTGAATAAATTACTTGAAGAAGCTTTGCTCTAATTCTCTGCTTAACTTGAAATACGTCAAAAATGCCTTGAAAAAAAACTTTATATCTGAGAGAAAAGGATAAATTGATAAGAATTTTGGATATTCTTTGTGAGTGCAGCCAGAATAAAACTGCATTTAAAGTAGGAATTTTCAAAACAGCATTGGTTAGTTTATTTAAACAAAGAATTATAATTGAAGAACTACTAAAAAATTTCAAATGTGTGAAGGAAGTGTGAAAAAGACAGAAAATCGAGGGACATTGAAACTGCTCTTTTAGAATAATTTCAAGCTGTAAGACTAAACAGTGTTTCTATTTTTAGAGCTCTTTTCACCTTATAAAAGGCTTTGGAATTTGGTAAAATGCTTAAAGAGAATTTTAGACATAAATTCAACTTTTTAATCAGAAAATGCATGATGACAAAGGAAAGGCCTAATAACAAATCATGAATATTAGCTGGATAAAAGAATGTTTTACCTGGGCATCTAAATGAATAAATGCCACACAGAATTTATAACAAAATTTGACTGTATTACAGAAACTAGCCAGAACACAAATTAATATTTGAGAGTGAAACAGCAGCTATTCTAAGAAACTGGTTGAATGAGTTAGTATGTTAATAATGTGCAATATAGACAGCACTGGTTACTGACAAAAACAGGAAACCTAGTTGTTTAAAAAGCATCAAGAATTTACCTGTAACTCACCACAGCAACAAAAACTCATTGAAGACAAGTCCCCCCTTGTTTTCTCTCTCTTCTTCCCCCCTCCTTATTTTTCTTTTCAAATGGGGCGTGGAAATAGCTTTATTAATTAGAAAACCATGCTGCACACATATACACACCTGTTGATCTGTAGTAATACTGTAGTTGATCTTTTGTAGTAGAGCATAATCACTTTACTTGATAGACACAATCTCCACAACTCGAGCTTTCTTTCTACTTTCAAAAGTTATATTGGGATTTAAGGACTTTACTGTGCACCCTGCATGTATATAAATTATGTTGAATTTTCTGCCTTATTTTTTAGAGCTTTCTCATCTTTGTAGTGCCTACTAAAGAAAAATATATTAAGTTGTATAATTTTATTTGATAAGGGAATGTTTGAACTTTCAATAGTTGAACTTTTAGTTTAGCAAATAAAGTTGAATTGGTAAATTAATATTGTTACGAATTTGGTATTTAAATAGCTAATGTTAGTTGAATTGTAAATTAAATTGTTTTATTTCCTGCGCAGTGCAGTGCAGGACGAATATTAAAAGAAAGCTAAGCCGGAAAATTGAAAATACAAGAGCAAGTGCATTTAACATTAAATAAATAAATATCTCTTTTTGATTTCGAGAAAGTTTCAGAAAGTTCTCTCGCGCAATTTAAAAATCTTATAAAAAGGAGGAAAACCTCTCAATTCAGTTAGTCAGTGATTTTAGTTAGCTTGTTGTTTTAAGAGTTTTGTTTAGAAAACTGCTCTTGTTGATTGTAGCGAATTCGCGGATTAGCTTTCTTTTAGCTGTTTTGAATTAACTTTTGTTGAACTTTTGAGTAGTTGAAAGATAACTACTGTGAGCTATTTTAATACTGAAAGAATATCTGATGGAATTTAAGCATTTTTATTGTGATGATAATAAAATTTTGTCCATTTTTCATCAGACTTGTGCATTCAATTCAAACGAACCCATACGCACGCAACAATATATATTATAAGAAATTTTATAATGTGATTTTTATATAGAAGATAATGAACCTCAAATTGTTTCTGAATTTTGAAATATGTTTAAACCATGAATTACATATATAGACTTAGGAATGACTGTATTCGTAACTGTAATGCTTTGTACATTATTGTTATTTATGTTAATTTCCTGTTTAATTAATAAATTTCTTTATTTTTCTAGCTGTGCCTAGTGACTATGTCTCTCTTTAGAACATTATTAGATTTAAATTGTGAAGATGTTTTATTTGAGTTAGTTTTCAGGTCAGTAATTTTACAAATTTCTTTCATAAAATTCATGTACTAAGATTAATATTTATATTGTAATTATCCTTATGTTAATTGAATAGTCCAATAATTTTTAGAAGCTATGAATTTTTTCCTCGGCATGAAAAACAGGAAAAATTAACTATGCCCTTGCCAGGATTCAAAATCTTTCAATTGCTCAGTGTCCAATTGCACCACAAGAGCACAAGTAATAATTATTTATATTGTATAAAGACTGGGCTGTACATGTTATCTGTTACAGCACAGGTGCACAAACGGTGGAAAGTGACAATTCCTTATATACTGGTTTGTGTTTTTTTAACTGCTAAAAACATCCTTTCTAACTAATGATAAAAGATAAGAAATGGCCAGATAAAAATTAAAATAAGTCAGATAAAAATTAACCATTAATAGTCTATTTTAATAAGTTATAATAAGTATTTATTTGTTATGGGCTCATTAAACACACACTACTTTGATGGTTAATGTGCTTTGATTTGAATGCTGTTTTCATTGGAAAAACTTTTTAACAAGCTTGAGTTTCTTGCATAATTCTTATGTTAAAAGTAATGCTTAATACTCTGTCTTCATCATAATGCTATTTTACAGTAACATTATGGAGAAGAGTAAATTTGAGTTAATTTTTTTAAATAACATATATATTTAATTTTTTTTTAATGTTTATAGATAATCTTAAACTAACTCAGAACGTAACATCTGAGTTAAATAAATGAATGAATAAAATGGAGCATTCGTATAAAAAGAAGTATGATAGCTTCCTTTTTATGTTTACTTATTTTTATTGTTTTTGAATATATACTTTTGGCAGATGGTGCAGTTTTCGTTTGCGAATGACACATAATTAAGAAGGGTTTGTATTATTTTTCATTTGAAATGCATAGTTTTTCTCTAAAAGACTATCAGTCTAAGGCTGAATTTTATCTTGCAGTAATATTTTGATTGGATTAACATATTAAATTTAGTTTCATTTTAATTTATGTAATTCTGTCACTAATCTCAAACAATTTTTCTAGCTCATTAAATGATTTTTAATAAAATTTGGATTAGTGCAATCTTTTAAGTATTCAGAATTAATGAAATAATAAATCTACTTTATTTTCTGTTTTTTATCACATTATTACATCTTTATTCTGCAAAGCCTGATTAATGAAAATCTGGGCTCAAGATTCATGGGTCTGTTCAGTAACAAGAAAGACCTTGTCTGTCTGTAGAAAATTATCACACATGATGGAAAAGATTTTTCAAGATGTTAATATTTTGGCCCAAGCAGTTTTTTTTAACTCTTGTATTTAAAGATGGCTTTCTATCAACTTCAACCATGCATTCCATAAGTCTTATTTGTATATCCAAATAATAATAATTATAATGTTTAATGATCATCATATGTGTATCATTCTAACACCGTTTATGGTTTTTCAGTGCGCTGATCAATTTTCACAGTAAAAAAAAAAAAAGAGAGAGAGAGAGGGCGGTGTTGCCTTTTGAAAATTTCGAAATCTTTCTCTACTACCGTAATTGTGAGAGATCTATTGTTTTGAATCATCACAATTTCAAGCATTTATCTCAAATAACAATATCTGAAATATCATTTCAATTGGTTAAGCCAGATAGGCTGCTAAGTGTTCATATATTAGAGAAGCTTTTTTTTTTTTGTAATGACTACTCTCTTTTCTTCATCAAGAAATTGACGAAAATTCCTGTGCAGCTTGGCTGTACACTATTACTTGACTCCAGATCAGATGATCAAGGTTCTGTAGGCTTATTCACTTGCCCATGGACTTGGCTCATTAACCATGCAAGTATATTCTTCTTGTGATAAGTAACACTTTCTTGCCTTAATAAATTCATAATAAAACAAATAAAAAAAAAAGGGAAGTAACCTGAAATATATCCGAAAGCAACTCAAAGGGTAATGGAACCTCACATAGTAACCTTAAAAGACCCTACGCAGTAGCTTAAAAAAGGATTCTCAGGGATATCAGAAATGTGAATGTTTTTAATTACATGCCATGTTAAAAAACCAAGTTCTGTTTGTTCACATTGTGCTTTCTCTCCTCCCTTACAACAGTTGATTAGCAAAATTATTTAACATGCAGATGAGTAGAATATGAACAAACTGAAGGTCAGAATCCTAAAACTGCATTCAGTTCAAAAGTAATGGGCACAGGGAACCATCTAGTAGTCTTTAAAAAATGTGTCAGCTTAAAATGCTAATTTGTGTTGCATGTCTCCTAAGCTTATTTTTCAACAATGCATGGATGGGGCAGTCAGCTGTGAAAGACATTCATAAGAAATGCATGTATGGGATACATGTTCGGGAAATAATATCTGATCAGTAATAAGATAACTTTTATTCTTTCATGCATTCCACTTATTCCAAATGATATATTTTGCTCATTTGAATGAATTTGACAGTTATAATGCTTTCGTTGATCACGTTTTCATTTAATTAAAAGGACAGTAATATTAGTTTAGTGAGAAATCGGATGGAACTTTCTTTTGTGGAGTTTTATGGAAATGGATCTCTACATAGAGGTTGTACAATTATTAAATTGTGCATGAACTGACTGCTTATATATACGTAGGGCATCCAGAAAGTAAGTATCCCTATTTAAAAAAAAAAAAAAAAAAAAAAAAAAAAAAAAAAAAAAAAAAAAAAAAAAAAAAAAAAAAAAAAAAAAAAAAAAAAAAAAAAAAAAAAAAAAAAAAAAAAAAAAAAGAAATCACTCTTTCAGCAACATATTTATTAGCAACAAGTACAACAGTGGTTCAGCTAATTTTTCAACATAGCCACCACCAGAATTGAGACACTTGTCATATTGTGGGATCAACTTTTGTATCCCTCTGTTGTAGAACTCTGCCGCCTGTGAATAGAACCAGCGTGTGACAGACATCTTCAGCTCTTCGTCGTTGCCAAAATGCTCACCAGAGGACTGGAATTTCTTGAGATGCAAGAAAATGTGAAAATCGCTGGGAGCAAGATCAGGGCAGTAGGGTGGATGATCAAACAACTCCCAGCCAAATTCTGTCAAAACAGCTGCTGTGCGTCGAGCCGTATGTGGGTGAGCATTGTTATGTAGGAGCACATCACCTGTAGTAAGCATTCCACGCCTCTTGTTTTGAATGGCACCTTGCAATTTCCACAGTGTTTCACAGTAACGGTCAGCGTTTACTGTTTCATAACATGGAAGGAATTCAATGAGCGGAATGCCCTTCATGCACATCACTTTCTGCACCGACAGCATCTGTTTGAATTTCGTCCTGACCGGAGATCTATTATGCTGCCAATGCATTAACTGCTGCTTGGTTTCCGGGGTGAAGTGTGAAATCCAAGTCTCATCGCCTGTGACGATCCTGACGAGGAACTCGTTGCCATCATCATGATACCATTGCAGAAATGTCAATGCTGCTCCCAAGAGTTCAATTTTGTGTTCGAATGTCAGGTTTTTTGGCACCTACCTGGCACACAATTTTTTGAACAGGTGCTTAATGACAATCTCATGCAACAAGGATCATGATATCTGCGGAAAATGGCTGCTTAGCTCCGTAATCGTGAAGCGACGGTTCTCCACCATGTGCTGCCGCACAAGCTCACCAAGATCATCATTGATGAGGGATGGTCGCCCACTGCACTCTTCAATATTGGCCTTTTGACGACCTTCTAAAAACTGCCTACACCGGCAACGCACCATCTGCTTACTCATTATTTTCGGCCCATAGACCTGACAGAGCTGACGATGAATTTCAATTGGTGCAATGCTTTTTGCATTATCACTGACCAAACCTTGCAGGCGGCAGGAAAAGGAATAAGAGCTTCCATTTCGGACCATTGCTACCATTCTACTGGCTTGAGGTGGGACCTGTTCGGCTGGCATATGATTGATACGTCATAGATCTGTTACACATGTACAGTTAACACAGCTAATTACTTTTACTTTAAAGGGGAAAACATTGGGAAACTTACTTTCTGGATGTGCCTCGTACATTTATGTATCATACATTTAAAAATATTTATATGTAAAAATATTGGTTTAGACTTTCTGAAAATTGTATCTGCTGGTTTTTCTAGACATCATAATATTGTATAAAAGTGTGTAAAGATGTAGTCTTTAATTTTTCCATTAAATGTGTGTGTGTGTATTTAATTATGGCAAAGCACACGAGGGCTATCTGCCTAAGGGGAGGGATGCCTTTCGTGGAGGACTTTCTAAGGGAAACTGGCTCGTATACACGTTACACATGGGGAAAACCACGAAAACGCCCATGCAGCCAGCCCGTTCGCGGGATTCGAACCTCGGACCGAACTACCAGTGTTCAGCGACTTTACCGCTCGGCCGCTGGTGGGCCTTTTTCCATTAAAAGAAAAGTATTTAATGTGGTTCTCCTCAAAATATGCTGTTTAGATTATTTTTTAACTTCCTCATAAAGTACTTACAAATAAATAAAGCTTATATACTTCAGGCAATTGGATATATAAGCCATTTTTTATTTATTTATTTGAAAACATCTTTGAAAATGGTAGGATGATTCATATATGTGAATCTACCTTATATTTGAACCAGTATGATATTTCATTTTACTAGGAATGTACACTTGGCGTGCAGCTTATATAAATGTTTACTCACTGAAAGGACTTTTAGAAGTATTGTTAAGCTTTATGGGGTGGAAACCCTCAGTGAACAATTCTAGCAGATATCAGTATTAGAATTCCATCTGATTCTGTTTTCTTAATGTTTAATAATGAAAGACTTTAAATTATAAGCATTGAATAAGTTCACATTGTAATCCAATAAGTCTGCATTGCTTAAATTATTGGTCAAAATGAGATCATAAATAAATAACTTTTAAAAGCTTTATGATTTAATCAAAAAATTATCTGAAATAATGTTAAAATATTTAAAATTTAATGTAACCCTAAAATTAAAAAGGGCTTAAAGTATTATATATATGTACGCAAAAAAGATGAAACATAAGGGGGGAAAATTCCTACAAATTCGTTTTGACTGTGTGCATTTAAATATATTCTCACAAAATTCAAGAAGGGGAGGATAGTACAAAAAGCTGCAAAATATGTTAGATTTTTCTTTATTACCTGCTTGTGTTTGCATTTTTGTCATTGAACTTTGAAAAACTTTTTTTTTTTCCCTATAAAAAATATTTGGAACTGTGTTTTGTTGTAGAGGATAGCATTTTATTTTGTTTATCTTCAAAAACCTCCTTGATATTTCATTTAAAAAATATTTTTAAGTTTATCATTAAAAATTATTATGTATATAAATGTATTTGCAGGTATCTTATTCCATGTACTCATGTTATGGTGAGTCAACGTAGCAGAGTAAGAGATCTGGATCTCTACAATCAAGCTGCAGATAAATTTTTATCTCTCATACCTGCATCATCAGTTCTGCATAGTAATGGAAATGGTAGCAGCCTTACAACCAGCCAAAGCACTCCTGTGTCATCTTTGCCATTTACTTCTGGGTTTAGCAGTTTGCAGAACATGCCTCCTGGCAGTCGTGGAGGTAGTTTGCGACTGAAGCGCCACCAACGCTCACCGTCCACTTCTAGTTTTGCTTTTGGAGAAGTAGAACGACTGCAGTCACAGATGCTAAAATTCGGAACAGATTTTTATGCAAATATTTCTGAAATACAGCCATCCAGTTATATGGATTATTTACGAGAAGCTCACAGAAATGTTAAAACTTGCACCCTCGCTTGTAGATGTTGGTCTGCATCATACGATGGACTTGATCCGCCTCCAAATGCTATCAGCAGCTTAGTCCAAAGTAAAGAGAATGAAGTTTTTAGTCATAACAATTGTGTACAAATTAGTAGATTGAAAATTTCTGACTATGAATCTGCAAATAATGAGCAAAAAAAGAATTCTGAGGTACAATTACTTCAAAAAATTAGTGATACAGATAGTATTCTTGAGTTGTCATCAGCTAATTTAGCTGTTCATCAAGACTCTTTTAGACAGAAACTGCAGGACAGATCATCTGCTATGGAAACTATGTCCTTGGGTGAAAATTCTGTGATATCAATGCTGAATAGTTGCAACAATAAAGTAATGAGTAGTGATATTCTTCATCAAATAGTAAATGCAGATGATGAAAGAACGTTTTGGAGCTTAGTTTGCTTGACTGAAACACCATCCTCAAGTGACAATTTAGATGATAGTCTTCAAACAATAGATGGTTATTTAAATGAGATGGAGGAGGATTGTGGACAGGATTCAAAAAGTCAAATATGTTTAACAGAGACAATTTATTTGAAAGATGAATGTTCAAATGCAGATTCAGGTGTGTTTGAGTCTCGCGATAGTTGCGTTTCTGAAAAGGATTGTGACGTATCTCCATTTGTACTCAGTAGTGCCAAATGTAGTGATCATAAAGATTCATTGTTCATATCCATACCTCCATGTGCTGCAAAGAGTGACTTAAAGCCAAATTCAACTTCAGTTTCTGATACTAGCACAAAAAGTAGTAATAGTCCAGCCTCTCCTAGTAGTTGGGAGGCTTTTAGTACACCAAATATTGGCCCATTCTTGAGTATTATTCTCACTAGACTAGAAATGATGATGCAGAATGACCTGTACACCAACTTACATCTCACAGGGTTAATTTCACGTCTTGCATGTTATCCACAACCACTTTTGAGATCCTTCTTGCTTAATCCATCCTTAGTTTTTCAACCAACTGTTCGTTCCTTACTTCAGGTGAGTATGTTTCTTGAGAAATGTGGAAAAATATGCATTGCTTATATAAAAATACAAAACATCAAAAATTAAGAATATAGTTGAATTCTTCAAAAGTTTTGAGTTTAATAAATGCATAAATTCAAAATTTTAATATTTTGCAAGGCATGCATTCCTTCTCTGAGGTTATAATTTATGCATAAGAAAAAAGTAAAAGCTGGTTTGTTTCAAATTGAAATCTTAAAGAAATTTATATGTGGTTGTATGAAATTTTACATAGGGGTTTTATTATAAGTGTATAAATTAAACCAATATTCTCCAGCAAATAAATTATCAGAACTTTATTAGCAAACAATTTTTATCATTTGAGATTTTTTAATGTCTCAGACCATTGTGTATTATAAAATGAGAGAAATGAAGTAAAGCATTCTTTTAAACACAGGCTGATAATTATTATTAATATTTTTTTAAAGGACATCAGAATCAAAAACTTCCTTTTTTTTAAAAAAAGCACCCATCCCACTGTCCAGTCTCTTTTTAAGATTGAGCATTTTTAATGCTTATTAAAATCATTAAATTTCAATTATAATTAAATGACAATGACTGCTCTGAACCAATAACAAATTGTTGGTAAAGTTTGTTACTGAAACTTAAATATATATATATATTGTTTTGGAAGAAATTGCAGGGACAATGAAAATGGAACGAATCAAGTGTATGAATGTTTTGGGGAAAATTATCTTTACTGTTAATTGAATTAGTTATTGTTTAAATTTTAAAAAATCTTTTTCCTTCTTTCCATGCAAGCAAAATTATTTATTTCTTGTATAGTTTTTAAAAATGGTAATTCACTGAAATAGTTTTTATCTGTTTTCAAATTAACTATTCTAGGGAATTTATATTGTTACATTATTTTCTTCCTTCACGTTCGTACGGGGTTCGTGAGGATTTTGAGTTAATAATGATAATACTACTTGATGAAGTATCGAAACATACTTTATTGGCCAGTATTGTCAGGACAGCTCCAAAACACGTTTTACAGTCGTCGATAAACTACTATAAACACGCTGGCACAATCAGTGACACAGCCTCCAGGTTATCAGGCTAACATGGTGGAGACAGCTTCACTGCAAAGCACCAAAGTACAGCTCCTGACTCTGCTTGGTCGTCCTCGGAACACCACATACTCTCGAGACTCTCCAGGCTACAACTCGCGATGCACTCAACGACACACAGAGCACAGCTCCCGACTCTTCGGTTCAGTCGGTCCTGGAGCTCAACTCTCTCTCTCTCAATGATGCACTAACCGTGATACACTACGAGACTCTTTCGGTGCACTTAGACGACCCACTTGGCGCTGCCCGGCTGTCAACTCGATTGACTCGCTAGACAAGACACCAACTCGATACTATCTCGCACTCATGACGAGGCACTCTGACTCACCCTCTCTTTGATTGCAGACCATCAGGGTTTATATAGCTTTTGACTGGTGTTGGAGAAAATTCTGGGCTAAACCAGTAAGAATTCGTTCCAAAAGGTTCTCCATCCGTCCATGGTATATCGCCAAATGTGGCAACCCTGTCGTCCCTTGCCATTTTATGGCAACCCTAAAACTGCTTTCTGGGGGAAGCCATCTTACCGCGCCTGTACATTTCGTAACAATATTTCGTATTTCCGCAAAAGTTTTCACATTCATTGAAGTTATTTTTAGTCACAGTAGAAAATTTTCTTCCATTTTTCAAGGAATTGATTTGCATATAGTTCAACCATTCTGTAGTGGACTTTAAGTGACATGAAGTTTGGTTTGCTATATCTGTTCCATAAGAAAAATAGATCTCACAAAAACATGTAAAAATTGATTGATAAATAAAAAAAAAAAGATAAACCTAATTTTCACATGTACCAAAAGAACCGAGTAATAAATCTAATTTAAATAAAAATTAATGCAATAAATATCCTTTGATTGCAAATATTACTATGAGCAGTTATTAAATATATTGATCAGTCTTTACAAAGCTAGTCTCGTTGGTCTAAGAGTTATTATTTTTTTGTAATACCAGCTGTAGATTTGGATTAATTATATTTCAGGCAGATATTGATTTGATTGCGTTCCCTCCCCCAAATAATGTTACACTATCTTCAGTGCAGAAACTTTACAGCTCACCATGCAGCTGAATGTGTTACGCAGAAACAGAATGCAAAGAATTTGGTCAAAGAATAAGTGAGAATTTTGGAAAAATAATTCATCATAATAATGGAAAATAATTTCATCACTTACGTGTCTTACCCACTGTCTAATTGAGAACACAGTCATTTCCTCCAAAATATGTATGGTTGCATCACAAAGATATAATGACCTTTAGAAAAAAAATATGTCTTGCAAAACCTAAAGAATGCAAAATCCCAGTTTGGGAATAGAACTTAGAGAGCATTTATTCTCAAACAAAACAAAGGATATGAATCAAAACCTTTCATTCTCTAAAAGAAGAATTAACTTAAAAATCAGAAAAACATAAAATTCGCTGCTTCCTCTTTACATGAATGGCAAAAATTTCAAAATTTCCATCATAGCATCATTAATAGAGCTCTGTGTGGCAGCTCAAACAAAATATTTGAATAGAATAAGAGACCTATTCATATATTTTGGTTCAGTAGGCATATGTATCATGTGGTGTCATTAAGCTATGTTTATTGCATCTTTTATTCACCTAAAGTTCAATGCCACTCCTGTCTCGTTAAGCTATGTTATGTGTTGTCTCTTTAAGTTAAGTTGTTATAGTCTTAGTTTAGATCACAAAGAAAAATGGGGGGTAGAGATAAAAGAAAAATAACCTAAATATGATTTTCTTTATGGATGGAATGAGAAATATTATATTAATTGTTAGTAATTTTTTTCATTAAAACTTGTAGAAATTCTGAAAAAAAATATGAAATATGTTTTAGTTGAAAATATCCATGCAGTTCATTGTATGCAATTTTCATGCATTTTGAGTTCACTATAACAATATAAAATAGCTCTAAGTGTGTAAGAAACTGAATAGGGCCAAAAGGTTTGTTTACTACGTGCATATTATCCCATTAACAATGAAAGTTGGAGAGATCTTACCAAAATTGCACTAGTTATTCCTGTGTAATTTTGAGCTGTTTTTCTATCTGCAACTCTTTACAATAAAGCATTCATCAGCCACTGCAGTGGAAGTGTTTGACTCATTTGTGCTTCATAAAATGGATTATTTAGTTAGGTCCTCCAGTTTTGCCAGGATGTCTGCTTAGAACATACGAGTACTAACTTACTGCTTCCGTTGCAGTCTGTTACTGTTTTGTCAGATATCTAGCTTTTCGTTTCTCCATTTGACAGACATTGTCTTAACCATCTGTAAATGAACAGGAGTGCAGTCACAAATGTGATTCTACAGCCCTCAAACTCATTTTTTTTCTCCTCGAAGTGCAAAGAAAAATATACTGCAGTAACATTCAATTTATATCGTTGTTCATTAAAACAAGAATCAATTGGGATTCTATCAAACAAAAGCGAAAATTTTATGAGTATGTTTTAACATCATACTTATCCGTAATTGACACTAAATCATGCTGCTTGGCAAAAAATTTGGGTTCATGATAGTGGGGCTTGAGTGTAATTAAAATTCTTATGCAGTAAATTCTTCTTTTTTAAAATGTAAATATTCAAGCATTCAAGTTACAGAACTAGAAGATGTATCATGTAATTCTTCTATGTCCACAAAACATGTAAATTGTTCAGGATTTTTCTGATGTCAAATAAGTTTTTATTTTGAATGTCCCTGCTTAGTAGAATATCTCCAGCTCTTATAATAAGTCATAATGTAATGTATTATAATTCTGACTGGTTCATAAATTTATAAGTTACTTTCTTTCAAATAGGGTTATTCCCCCTTTATGATTATCATATTTTAAGAAATGGTAACTATTTGGCAGCATGGGTCTGTAACAGAATTAAAGCCATATTGATGAATGGATAACGTGTTTTCTAAGTTTGGATATTGTGACATACATTCGGATTTTACCGCGTGTATTCTAAAAACAAATTCTGTGTATAATTGAATGAAGTAATGGTTTTAGGGGGTGCTCTGGTACATAAAAATTTGGTGGCCAGTATTGTCTTTCTCCTCACTGATTTAATAAAAGCCTTTACTACATTCTTGAATGAATCACTATGTTGTTGCTGGGAATGGGCAGTTTATGCTGCGCTGCTTTTCCGAGGCCGAGGGAAGTCATCCTCCTTTTTCAGATAGAATGCTGTCTCGTAATTTCATTATTCTCCCTCCCCCTTGTTCATAAGACATGATGTAAATATGGGTCTTAAGGTAGAATGCTCTCCCAAAATTTCATTTACCCCCCCCCCCCCCCCATTTATATAAGGCATAATATATATCTGGGCACTTTCAAAATTCACTCAGTAACTAAATTTTAGTACAGCAAACCAAATGTGCATGTGATTACAACATCTGATATTTTAATGATTTGAACAGCCAAATACCAATACTAGGTAGATATTCTAATAAGTCAAAAAAAAAAAAAAAAAAAAAAAAGTCCATACCTGTATTCAAGAAAATATAGCAGTTCAATAGAATTTTCTGTAATCATGCATATTATGTATCCAAATAAATACAAACTGTTATGGTCTGAAAAACAGATGTAACATTATGTTTTATACTTATTCACATAACATTAGGAAACATTCATAATATGTTAATCAGAAGAATGATAGTGACCAAAAACAACTTTCCCCCCTCCCAGGGGGGCTGGTGTAAGTGTGTTAAAGCTTTAAATATACATCATACATGAAGATTCTGTAGGTAAAGAGTATAAGGGAAAGAATTATTCTTAAATTTTGATTGAGATTTGAATATTTATAGCATGATTAGGATTGTGTTTAAGGAAAGCTAAAATCATGGAATTTCGAATCAAATTCACAAGTACAATAGTCCAATACAATTATATTTATTGTCATGGACCTTTTATATCCAAATAAATACAAATTA